AAAGCGGAAGCGTGTACACCCAAAGCTAAATGCGCTGTCGACAAAGGTCCATTCGGTGCTGGCAATACCAGCTGGTAAATTCAGCACTTTTGGATTTTGTTGGTGTGAGCCTCCATATGCAGTTTTATTTTTCCTTCCATTTCTAACCTCAACGTTCTAGCCTGTTTGTCGATCTGGCTGCAAGTTTAGACGAGGAACCCGATGTGACGATGGCATCTACCCCACCACTTTCCAGTCCCGAACCCTCGGCAGCACCAACGCCATCATCGATTTCGCCCACCACAACGGAGAGCTGCAGTCTTCCGGCTGTTATTCCGTCCCCTTCCCTCACCCCAACCCCGTCCGTCCTCCCGCGGCCCCTAAACCTCGTCGGAAATTCTACGCAACCTGTTCCTCCTCTCTCCGCTGCTGATGCTGCTGTTGCCAGCGCCGCTGGGACTTCCTCCACCCCACAGGAATCCCTTCCTCCGAACAAGTCAAACAAGGCCACTGGGTAAGGATTGAATATGTTAGCCTATCAGACATATCCAACACAGGGACCCCTGTAAAACGGGTATGGTGGTAATGGGGGCTTTTAGGGTGCAGCACTTGGGAGCAAGGTCTAAGAGATTTGAGGAGAGAGGCAATTGGACGGTCGAGGCCACTGGGGCTGAACGGACTGCAACGCGGACTAATAGGAACGTGATGGGGACACTAATGCCGTAGAAAGTGGATGTCCGTTTGTAAAATAAATTGTAACGAACCTAACTAGGGCGAGGGCTAGGAATGCTACGAGTGGAGAAAAAACAGCCTCCTAAGGTGAGTTTGGGGATTATGACGACGAAAATAAGAGGGACGGAGTTCGGGCGGGATTGGGAACACGGGGATGTCCTATGGCAGGGACAGGTTCGTTCGGAGGCAAGTCTTGTTGTGTCCGGGCAGCGGAAGCGATGCAGAAGGGCGCAGAAAGTTGCATGTGGTTAATCGACCTGTGACCACGGTAGGCGCGGAGCCTGGACGAGGTTATTCTGGGCGCATGGATTCGGTTTTCATAACCTGATTGCGGCCGCTTCTGCTGCTGCCAACAGGCGCTGGCCCGATAGCGAAGAGCTTCGGCGGGGTCCACACGATGCCCTGAATCAACTGCATGCGCAAGAATGGCTCTGTATATGCTCCTAGTTTCACCTTTTGCCAGCCATGCGCGGTGGTGTTCTCGTATTCTTTTGGATAGACGCCGACTCGTACGACCAATTAACCTACTCCACAGGATCACGTGAAGGATTAGTTGGACATTGAGATGGTCGGAGGTGCAGCCTATCCTTACCAAGTAAAACAGGGTTAGTAGAGGGTCAGATCGCTGTTCGTAGCCTGCGGTGTGTAAGCCAACCGGTAGATCCCTCTCTGACGGGACCCGTGGGAAAAGAGGGTTTTAAGGGTGGGGTAACTGGGTAGCGGCTTAGGAGGAGAAAACTAAGTAAAGAAAAAGGCAAAGTTTTCATGAGTAAATAGTGAAGTTTTCGTGAGGCGAAATAACTGTAAAAAATCAAGGAGAGGCCCGTCACACGTAGCGCAGCCTGCGGAAGGTCACCGCGGTGGAAAGAGATAGGACCAGCTGACAACGCTGCATTAGTAACCAACAGGAGGTACGTACCGGACGGCAAGGTCATTCCGGAAAACGCGCCCCATAAAGGACTTGGCAGCATTGTCGCCCATCCGTCGTCCACGTGTAGGCTGTAAGTATATGCAGGGGGTATGGCAATGGTAAGACAACAACAAACAACGTTTCCGAAAGCGAGGTCGAATGCGTTACACCCCAGCGTGACCGACGCGGGAGAACTGTGTGACCTAATTTAAACACACCTACTGATAACAAGCAAGTGCGTCAACAATGTTGACTCAATGTCAGGCAACGAACTGCGATCTTAACTATTAGAGTATGATATTCCAACTCCTGCTGCTGGGGAAATTCTCGGGAGAGTTTGATCAAGGCGTCTCTTTGAAAAGGAACTTCGAGGAAAACATTTTTCTTTTCGGCAGCCACTGTGTTGGGT